TTTTTTTTTTTTTTTGTAAAAGAGGTAAAAATATATTCATTTTCTGCACCCCAGTATTCAGTTTAAAGGAAAAAAAAAAGTATTATTGTGTTGCAATGTTTTTAATGTTATTAAATCTACTGTTCCTGTTGGCTGGAGGTAGAAGCAGCTCATGATTAAATTAAAGAAAGAAAATTGAAATAAAACGTCTGACTTATTTCTTGAATAATAGATTCAGGGATAAAGGAACATCACTGTCAACATAAAAGAGCTGTTATTGATGTTAACGTCATGTTAAACACTCACGTTATTCTGTTTTTGCAATGATTTATTATTTATTGCTACTCAACAGCAGAACAAACAATCGTACGTTTATTAAAACATGAAATGGTCTATTCACATCATCATAATAACAGTGATGATAATTACTCCACTGTTTCCTTTGTTAAATAATTGTCAGAATGATGAACATGTAAAGGATGAAATGTTATATTTAAACACTGAACTGTATTATACCTTCATCTGAGATATGGTGAACATTCTGAGGTAAAAGCCTGTTTTTTTTTATTAAATATATGTTTTCAATGCCAGTATTAGATAATAAATCTAGTTTATGAAACGTAGATTGTAAACATTAGCATTAATTTTTATACATAAATCTCTGCCATGACATTTTTATTAGTAAATATCAGATGTGACTTATGAATAAAATAATTTCCAAGATCTATAGGGAGCTTATAATAAACCTAAGCCTAAAAAGACATGTTTTAATGCCTTGTGTTTCCAAAATAAGTTGATTAAATTACTATAGGTTTTTGGTCTGACTTTTTTCCCCCTAAAAGAAAATCTCAGAAAACAAAACAAAACCCAACTCGGCTGTTTAAAAATGAAATCTAAATCAAAGAAAACCCCCAACATGTCTTAAATCGACACGGCTTTTTGAGCRTCTGAGAGATTAAATAAAAGCCTGAGTTTAATCTGCTTTAAAGCCTTTGAACAGAACACATGAGACTGAAGTGTGAGAGTGAGAGCTGATAGGGGATAAATTTATTTCTTAACATGCCTTTGAGCTATTACACCCTTCTGCAACACAAACGCCTTTTCATCAGAAACCACTTTCATTACAAGCTATAATAGGCTCAGTCCTTCAATTATCAAACACCAGCCCGATGACAGCGAGACACCACAAGACCAACCCAGGGACAAGAACACTGCAGGGGACAATTATCAGAAGAAAATATTCTGGTTTTACATTTAAATCAAAATGTTCAGGAGTCACTGAAAGAAGAAACCAAGCAACAAAAACAAAACATGGAAAATTCAATTCTGGTTTTCTGGTTAAATCACCAAAAATCAGGAATCCAACAGGCGACGGCCAGTGTATCTTTTGGTCATTGGTTTTTCATTTTCGAAACAGGTATTAAAAAACAAGAAACGAGTGGATATTTGATTTTTGTTTTAAAATACTGGAATTAAAATTAAAATACAAAGCAATTCTCATTCTTAGTGTCAAACAGTTTGTTGTAGGGATACATTAAGTTGGCACGACCTGTCACAGATTATGAACGGTCAGTGTATCTTT